CGCACCTGGCGCTGCCTGGGGGTGGGTGCAGCATGGCTGGGCAGCAGAGAAAAAGCAGGGCTGTCATCATTGTCAATTACTCGTTCCTCGGTGGGCCTCCGCCCCGGAAAGGGGCCAAGCGCGAGGCCGATAAGTTGTTTAAAGCGTTATCCAGACTCAATTATGCAGTGAAGTTGCACTATGATCCGACAGCGGAGGAGCGCACCTGGCGCTGCCTGGGGGTGGGTGCAGCATGGCTGGGCAGCAGAGAAAAAGCAGGGCTGTCATCATTGTCAATTACTCGTTCCTCGGTGGGCCTCCGCCCCGGAAAGGGGCCAAGCGCGAGGCCGATAAGTTGTTTAAAGCGTTATCCAGACTCAATTATGCAGTGAAGTTGCACTATGATCCGACAGCGGAGGAGATAGAGGAGATCTACCAGCAAGGTACGTGTCCCTGGCAGCTCCTGGCAGCGTGCACAGCTGCGTGTGGGTCCCGGTGGGGGGGACGGACGGGGCTTGCGTTGCATACGCTGCAGTTTGGAACATCAGCTGTGCACAGCTGGGATTGCCTTGTCCCCCACCCCATAGGCTGACATAGCCCTGGGAGCACAACCCCGGCCCCCCCCAAAGGAGGGTAGATCTATAAACCCCTCCCTTGCTTGGCCTTACTCGGGGGGGGGGCAGATGCAACTGAGATGAACATCTCGGGGAGCGGGAGAGCAACCGAAGACTGGGAAGAGGAGACTCCTCCAGGCCGCAAAGGGCCAGTGGGGTCCCCTGCCCTGGGGTAACCAACCTGCAGCAGGCGCGGTTACAAACGGCGTCCCTCGAGGGCGACCGTGTTAAGGGGCAAATGTTGAGGTTGGATGGAAAACCCAGCGAGTCCCTATGGGCGGGCACCAGATGGGAGATGGGGCTGCAGGGAGCAGCTCTCCCTGCCTGGCTGGCGACCGGCTGCGTCCCAGGCGGGAAGGGATAGTTCGGGCTGTCGCCAGCCCCAGCGGCAACTCCTCGCTGAGCACAGCTCCCCTCCTCCGACGGCCCGGGAGGGAGGAGATCCTGAGAAGGACCAGGCCCCGGTCTGCCCCAGACCAGCTGCTGTCTTCAGCTTGTGCCAGCAGCTCGGGCCCCTCGGGGAGCATCGTAGGCCGGCCAGGGAGCCCCCGAGCTCAGTGCTTCCCAGCTATTGCTCTCTCCTGCCTCTGCCATGCCAGGCCTCCAGCCTCCCACGGGCCAAAAGTCCCCCCCGAGGTTCCTGCCGCAGACCCCAGGCGGGGCTTGGGCAGGGCTGTGAGAAGAAGGGGCCCGCGCTGGACTCCCCACATCCCAGCGTAGGTCTTCCCAGCGGCCTCGCTCCACTCTGGGTTCAGCCACCAGATCTGGCCTGGCCTTTGGACGCCAGGCTCAGGGGGCTGAGGCGGGCCCCCCTGCTGCTCCCACCACACCCCGCCAGGCCAGGAGGCATTCGTCCCATTGATACCGGCCTCTCCCGGCCTCAGTGAGTCTGGGGCAGGGCAGGGAATTGACCCAGCACCCCCACGTCCATGGTTAGTATCTGACCCTCGGGCCCAACCTCTCCCCGAGCGGGTACCAGCCAGACAACAGGCTGCTCTAAGGAGCTGGGGCGCTACTGTGTCTCTGCAGAGAGCCAGGAAGAGCATGGCGATTACTTCGTCAGCATTCTGTCCAGCCACGGCGAGGAGGGGGCCATATATGACTCCGAGGGACAGCCGGTGAGGTTGACAAGGATTTTCCAGTTGCTGTCCCCACAACGGTGCCCAGCGCTGGCTGGAAAGCCCAAGATCTTCTTCATACAGGTAACCGGGGAACCAGACCCGAGGGGCACCTAGCCCCATATTCTGGGTTTCATCCTGGTCTCTCCTATTTTGATTTAAAACCCAAGAGCAGGAGACTTAAGAGCCCTGCACCAGAACTTACCTCGCTACTTGTAACGACTCGGCACATTCTCGTTAGCCATATAAACGTGAATCTCGTGACATTCTTGGCCTCGGTGACATCATGTGGCATTGAGTTCCACAGGCTCACCACGCGCTGTCGAAAGTGCTATTTCCTCTTCTCGGGTTGCAGGTTTCCCCCTTTTCGTTTCACTGAGTGGGCACAAGTGGCGACGGGGGGGGGGGCCAATCGTGGAAGTTTGGGAGTTGCGGCTCTAGATCCGTCACTATAGGCTCCTCGTTCACCTCCGACCTCCCGAGAACCGTCCCTGTCGTTTCAATCTCTGCAGGGGAGCGTTTTTCAGCCCTTGCTTGTTCCCAGCGCCCCTCCAGAGGCAGAGGCAGCAGCAAAGCCATCCCAACAGACGCAATTCCCGTGCTGTGCCTCTGGGATCACAAATTCCCCCAGGATCGAAGTAAGAGGCAGAGCAGGGACTGGAAGGCTGTTGCTCTCCTCTTCCTTCCACATGGCATCAGGGCCCAGCGGATTCTCGCCATCGGTGGTCTCGTACCACACGGGGAGCACAGGGGTTGTGACTTCGGGTGTGTCTGTGGCAGCTTGCGTCTGCATCCCGGCTGTGGACTGCTCTTTGGGCAGCAAACTGTGGACAGTACATGGCACACGTCATGCCGGCTCCCCCAGAACTGCCTAGCAGGCCAGGTGCTTATAGATCCCAGGCTGGAGCACCACCGTGCTGGGACCCAAGCTCGCCACGCTGACGCTGGCTCAGGCGTGGACGCTCGAGCAGGCTCGCCCTCTTTTACAGCGGAGTTCAGAGAGGCAGACTGGAGCTGGCGGAAAGGGAGTGCGCCCCTTGCACAAACATTTACACAACCAGACGTATCCAGTGCAGCTCCGACTGGGAGGATCAGCTCCTTCGATAGCCACACGTCTGCCAACAACCGTACTGTGGCTATGGGCCAATGGCGACTAAGGGGCGCCAGGGTGTCCCGCCGGGGGCTCCAGGCCTGAGGGGAAGGGGAGGGGGAGAGAAGGGCTTAGGCCTGCTCCGGAGGGGCTCAGTGGTATGAACAGCAGTGCTTGTGGTCTCAGGCCTGCCGTGGCTCAGCAATGGATGAGGGCGTGCAGCTGGACACGGACAGTGCCGGGACCTCCGACGACAGCGTCTCGCACTACCTGTCCCTCCCTGAGAGCACAGCCGTGATGTTCGCCTGCAGCCCAGGTGAGTAAGAGCAGAGACAGCCCCGGGGCCTGCGGCCAGAAGGGACCTCATGCCAGAGGCAACTCTTCTGCTTGAGGTCTAATGCCTGTTGGGGTTGTCCAGTCCCTTCGGACCACAGCCACAGAGCAAAACTCCTGCCAACCTGGGCACAGTCTAAGCTCCAGCAACGGGGACCTGTTTGACGCAGTAGCGGAGACAAGGTCTCAGGGGGCGAAAGCCTTTCCCCCCCCCCGGGAAATCCAGGGGGATTGTTGAAGCTCATTTCCCACAGTTCCCTTGGGCTTTGATATCGGTGGGAGAGGTACCCAGAAGGCACTGCTCCTGAACTGGAGGAGCACAGTGCTGGCTTGGATCTGAGCCAAACAGCAAACAGCGTCTGCACAAGCCGGGATAGCCCCGCTTCCCTGGCAGCTACAGATGATTCTGTTCTATAGTGTAGATGGGGTCACGGTAGAGGGGTTGATCCCTTCTTCCCTGCCACCAGCCCAACAGCCGCATCAGTATTTGAATGAAGCAGCTGCCTTGGGAATTTACACCCGCGAGAGACAACAACGTCCTTTCTCTGGTATTTTCAGGCTACGTCGCTTTCCTAAATCCCATGGGCTCCATGTTTCTCCAGACCTTGCTGGAGTTTCTGGAAGGAGAAGAGCGGCAGCTTGAACTTGCACGTCTAATGACCCGCATCAACTGGAAAGTGGCGTTTCACTGCGAAGCCAAAGGGGAACACGAGGGGTACAAGGAAATGCCCTGCTTTGTCACCAACATGGTGCGAGAGGTCTACCCATTCGCCACCTAAGCCACAGAGAGCAGCAGCTTTTGAGAAGTCAGGTCTCGCCGGAGGGAGTCACCAGCTGCTTCCGAATTCTTTCAGGAGCACCGTGAGTAGGCAGTGACTTCAGGACAGTCCTGGAAAACGTGAGGGCCGGCAGCATTTCTGGCCCAACCTCCAACCAAGTCCACAGACCAAGGACTTTTGTGCTCTATGTGCAAAGGCCATGCACCTCTCCATGGCTCTAGGAATAATAAAAATAGTATTGTGCTCCTCTAGAGCATGAGCTGTTTGATTCTGGGCCAGCTTGTTGCTGCACGGGGGTTAAAGATACAACAGCTCATCTAACGTCTAAAATCCACAGGCCCCCCTCAGAGGAGTTTGAAAATTGGTGGCCCAGTTCAGGGCCGAAAGTAGAGTAGCTGGAGTATATCTGTGTTTATTTGGTTAAGGAATTCCTGAGCTATGCGCCTCTCATCTGGTTTGTACTCTTTCAGCTTTCTTTTATTTATTTATTTTCCGAGATAGAAAGCAATCTATAGGCAGGATCCACCTGAAACTTCTCCTAGCTGAATGGCTGCTTTGAAAAAATGAGTAGTCCGGTGCATCTAGACTACATTCCTCTTTCAAAAGAGGAATGTAAATGAAGGAAATTGAAAATGCAAATGAAGCGCAGATTTAAAAATCTTGTGCTTCATTTGTATAATTGCATCCGATCACTTTTTCAAAAAAAAAAAAAAGCAGTCTAGACCCGGTTCTTTCGAAAAAAAAAAACCCTTTTTCAAAAGAATTCTTATTCCTGAAAAAATGAGGTTTACAGGGTTCTTTCAAAAAAGAGGTGGGGTTTTTTTTTTGTTGTTTTTTTTTTTCAAAAGAACCATGTTTAGACTCTACTTTTTTTTTCAGAAAAACCCTTTTTCGAAAAAGTGATCGGACGCGATTATGCAAGTGAAGTCCAAGATTTGTAAATCTGCGCTTCATTTGCATTTTCAATTGCCTTCATTTACATTTCTCTTTCGAAAGAGGAATGTTGTCTAGATGCATCCTGAGAGACCAACAAATATATCTAGTATCACAAACTTTTGTGGGCAAAGCCCACTTCCCCAGATGATAGTGAACAAAAAAGGAGGCACCTCCCAACTGATAACAGAAAAAGGGAGAGAAACTTGGAAAACTCTGGTACCAAGAATAGGCTAGATATAATGCAGCAAATTACTAAAAAGGTTTCATTCCTTTTCTTCTACGTGGGCTCTGCCAGTCAGTCAGCAGCCGCTCCTCACAACAATGTTCTGCTCCCGTGTTATTTTCCCCACGCTTAGCTCAGCGGTGTGGTCCATGTACAGATCACCCGGATGCTCTTCTAGCCCCCATCTGCTGTGAGCGGGGAACACCTGATCCAGGCTTTCTGAGCTTTGCTATCCTTACCCCCGAACAGGACCAAAGTGCAAACGGGCTGGTTTGCACGGGAGATAAGCAAGCTGATAAGAGGGGAAGGAGCTTCTGTTTAAAGGGCATTTGTGCCACATTTATTGCAGGAAGTTGGTGGTTCGTTTATGCAAATTCACAGCCAATAAAAAAGGAGAAGGTGGCACTTTCACCCAAGTGCACGGCTCCCTCCACCTGCTGCTCAGGGTCAAAGGGGCGCACACACCCCAACCCTGCTGCAGGGCACCATGTAAACAGTCTGGCTCACAGATGAACACGGAGGAGAGCGGATTCACATTAGTCTGGTGCGTTCATGGCCAGCTCTTGGGGTGACTGCAGGGGGGGGCTCCTTGGATTCCCGGTGGAAGCCAGAGCTTAGATCTGAGCTTGGCCAGCCCCTCAGCTTTCAGAATTGTGACCCAGCACAGCCCAATTCCAGTGGTGATGAGTAGGGGGGACAGCCCCCCACACACCAGATTTGCCACTTGGTTCCTACAGGGCAGGCTGACACAGACTGAGCATGCCCAGTAACACTGCTGAAGCCAGCTGCCCTCACTCTGCCCAGCCCCAGGAACCTAGATCTGAGCTTGGCCAGCCCCTCAGCTTTCAGAATTGTGACCCAGCACAGCCCAATTCCAGTGGTGATGAGTAGGGGGGACAGCCCCCCACACACCAGATTTGCCACTTGGTTCCTACAGGGCAGGCTGACACAGACTGAGCATGCCCAGTAACACTGCTGAAGCCAGCTGCCCTCACTCTGCCCAGCCCCAGGAACCAGTGCGAGCCAGGCGCAAAACTCCTCTGACAGCCTCACGATCTATATGCTGGGGTACCCTGTCTGCCTGCGGCCATGCACCCTACCAGCTCTCTTTTCCCAGGGCTGCAAGCAGAGTTCCTCACTCTGTGCCCTCTAGCCGAAAAGGGAGCCACAGCCAGCGCAGGTGAAACTCATGTGCACCCTGGATCCCTGAGGGCGCCGTGGCCGGCAGAAGCATGCGGCCCCATGGTAAGCAGAGAGGGCTCGCTGCCCGGGGCTCCATCTCCAGGCGCACGGCTGAAGAGGGTAAGAAGTTCGGGTGTTCTCTCAGCTGCGTGTAGCCCGCAGATGGGCTGTGGGATGGAGAAAGGTGTCACCCCACCGGCGCCTGCACCGCACAATGGGAAAGGGTTGTGTCAGTTACACTCAGCCTCCCGGGAAGGCAGCTTTGCTGCGCTAGGGCAGCGAACCCTCCCTCCTGGCAGCCCAGCGGGCACGAGCTGCCACTTATGCTCCTAGGGAAGTGGCTTTGCTCACAGTGAAGCCTCATTGCCGAGAGCCGGGCAGGCAGGGGCTGGCAGCCCTGCTCCTGGGGAGCTTCACTGTGGGCTCTGCAGTATAAAGCTTAGGTAACCGCGTGACCCAGGGCGGGGAACCTCTTTTGGGTTGGGGGCCGCACACAAGTGAGAAACAAAAAACCCCAAACCCTCCCTGACATGGCCCCTGACAGCCACGCCCCACATTCCCCTCGCACACCAGGGCCTGGGGGGGCCAGGCTAGTAGATTTTGTGTGCTCCAGCCCCACAGTAGGGCGGCTAGAGCACCGGCACGAGCCCCCCAATGCTGGGGAGAGCCCTGAGCCTCAGCGGCCAGATCCAGAAAAGTCAGGGGGCTGCATCCAGTCCCCAGGCCTTAGTTTCCCCACCCCTGGTGTAACCGCTGAGATTTTCAGTGGTTTCACAGTTACCCTATTACATGATTTTTAACCTCCCTAATGGGCACCTTCCTGCTACCATCAGTGGCGCACTCTCATATAACCAGACACAAACGCATTTAAGATAAACTCAGTCCAGCTTTGCTCTGCCCTAAGGGGTTCACACGTAGTTTACATTCTAGCGAATTACTGAGTTTGTGCTAAAAATGGGGTTTAGTTGCGAAACAACCCAAGAGGGTGAAAGTCTGGAATGTTAGCTCATAAGAATGTTGTACTGGGTCATATTTACAATTCAACAGGTGTTTGGGATTGGCAAGACAATGCTGCTTTTGCACAGCGCCAGGACGATGCAATAAATTAAATAGCCTTATGAGAGTGTTTACAAGCAACACCTGGTCCCTTACAGGCAGGAGACAGATGCAGAATCAGATGGAGAATAGCATTCAGACAATACAAGAACCCAACCCGCACTGCTGTTCTGAGGTTTCAAATGAGGCAGGTAGCAGAGAGAGGGTGAAATTACATTTCTTTATTGTGTCCATTTATTGACTTCACCACACAGAAAAGTACAAAGGATTAGAAAATTCTGATTCTTCAAAGCGAGTCTCATTTTACTGCAGCAGAACCCAAACAATTCATGAAGTCAGCCTAGGAAAAGAACTGGCCTAGCATAGTAATGGCAAGAAATATACCCTTTAGGCTCCTTTCACTTGAAATTTGTGCCCTATTTGAACACAGCAAAAACTAGCTGGATGTTTCCCTGTTTGAGACTTGTAGACTCTCTTAACATCAAGTTGAATACCACAGAAACATGGAGATCGTTCCCGGAGATCTCATGAAATTAGAGAAACAGCAACTGTCATTAGAAGCCCCACACACTGGAATTTGGAGGAGAGTGGGAAGGGACTACGTTTGAATTCTTCACCAATCGTCTTTCACTAATTGCATGGAGACATACAGAGCATTATTGCATTTGAAGAGCTGCTTCTGTGGGTATTAACAGCCCAATGGCTGCAGAGAGCCACATTAAGAGTGGCCACATGTGGTGTCCATTCTACCCTGTGACGTTTGCACTGATTGTATGCTACAGATTTCTGTTGAGCCAGCTCACGCAACAAACTGCTCCTACATACATGCTGTGCGCATTCCTGAGAGTCCGACAGAAGCGTAGGAACTCTCGCTGTCAGTCCTTTTTGCACCTGCCAGACCGTACTGCAAACAGTACACAGACAGGAGGGCCCCGGCTCTCACAGGGCTCACTAGTCGCCGCTTGCAGGCACATTTACGAGGCTGCGTTTCCCCCCAAAAAGAGAGAGATTTCAGATTAACACAGTTGAAGAGGCCGAAGTAAGGAGGCCCCCGGATTTCATGACACACAGATTTGGTACCAATCCTTTCAAAATGTTTTCTGACTCAAAGGGGAACAAAGCAGGTAAAAAAATGAAACCACGAATTCCAGAGAAAGCCGGCAGGTGTGGCTAAGAATCGCTTCATGTATCATGTCTTCAAGTTTTTCTCTGTAGCATAAACAGACATGAAATTGCAGCCTCAAATTTTGCACCCCTTAAATAAATGGGCCACAGAACACAGCATGGCAGGCTTCCTGAACCATGTTCTATGTTATCTTTAAAATAAATAGCACAGTTGCCTTGCACACAAGCTCCCTGCCTGTGGGAAGGTGCATTTCCTTCAGAGGTTACATTCCAGGCCTGGTTATCCATTTCCTGAGAGCAGGACGCTTCCCCCTCCCCCTCCCCAAAAGTGGCTCCTGTGAGGACCGCTCTTATCAGAGTTCAGAAAAGTCATCTCTCAGAGGAGCCCCCTAAAATAGATTTAAACAAATATACAATTTCCCCCTCGCCCCCCACACACGTCTGCTAATGTCTTTCAGAAAAAATAAGTTGCTTTGTATTTTTTTCAAATAAGTTAAGCTCTGCGTGCACATCCTTCTCCCTCCCCTGTGGAAACAAACTGAAAATATAAGCCACAGCTTTAATATTCAGACGTGGCAATTTCTTAGCCGGTCAGTGTTATTGTAGGTCAGCAAATGCTGTAGACACTAAAGAGGAAGAGACCAGGTTAACAGGCGGGTTTGCCTCACCAACCATTGTTGGAACATGTCAAGAGAAGTCACCTAACTACTAACTAGCAACTTGCCTGAAGTTCCTCCCTGTGCCTCAATCAGGTGACAAGTGCATTGAAAAGGAGGATGTAGCTTTTCACATCCAGCATCTGTTCCAGGCTTTGATATTTATTCTAAGCTTCCTCCTATGCCGTGTTCCACAGCAATTAAAAAAGCAACCCTTCAGCACCGAGAAACAAAGAAAAGAGACACAACAAAAGAACTAGCCAGTCATGTACCATACACAAATTTCCCAACCATGCCTTGTCCCAGACAGACAGGCCTTGTGGAATAGAACTATGAAAATAAAGACAGGAGCATATAGCAGGCCCTGTTCAACACTTCTTCCCGGCCTCATCAGAAATACGAGCAATACCAGCATGCACGTGCCCCTGGTTTATGCAGTCAAAGAATCTAAGAGTGCCACAGCAGCACTGAGGGAACAGCTGGCGACAGGTACATTCAACTCAATGAAAGCACAACTCAAAGCCGTGGAGGGCCAGGGTCAAAGGAAGACAAGAGGGGACATCTCATAGCTACTTCTGTAACACCGAACAAATCCCTTTCTACAGATTTTCAATCCACCATCTCCTTGGGAGGAAATATCTCTGCACTAACCCAACAAGCCTCCCCCATGGGCTCTGTGAGGGAAGGGCTGTGCACAACAGCCTAGCAGCACTCGCAGCGTGAGGAATGAATGACAGGGCAGAGCCCATAGCGTACAGCTCTCCACACAATGCCTGGTAAAGACATGTTTCAAAGCTGTCTGCCTAAGGGAGCCATACTGCTGCTACACGGCTCAGGCACGAAATTCTGCCATCATCTGTGCAATGCATCAGTCAGCAGCCGTCCTTGTCCGCTTTCCCCTCTCCAATTCCCTCAGGGACCATCCACCTGAGTGGGAACCAACACCTGCAGGTCAAATTTAGGTAAGCACAATTGAGCTGGTCAGCACGAGAGCCCATTCAGCGCTGAAGAGAATGAGCTATGTTAGGAAACTCAGGGGCTGAAGAACATACTTGTGGGAAGGGGGCCATGAATTACATGTAATGACTTTTCTTCCAGCTAAACATTGCCATGGTCATCTGACATAGTTCTATGGGGAAGTGGCCAGGTTTACAGAGGCAAAGTTCATTGAGACTTTGCCCGGGAGGTTTGGCACAGAGCTTTATACACCCACCTTGCAATCTTTCACAGCGTCCACGGCATAAATATTTCATCTCTGTTAGTGCAAGTCCGCTAGCGCATTGAAGGTGGACAAGAAAAATTCAAAGGGTCAGGGATTGCTGATCAACCAACATTGCCAAAGAGGCACGTTAACAGACAATCAGATGTTAATTTTCAACACGGTCTTCATCTCAGAGAATGAAGAACCTATCACATTAGAAAATGTTTCTCAACCAGTGCAAACAAACATGCTGTGAACTTTAGAGTCCAAATACAATGGACAGAAGAGGACAATATTCATACGTCAGCTACCCAACCAAACATGCTGGTTATAGAGGCTGCTCCATGAATCTAGAGGGATAAAATAAGAAGGCTCATTCAATGGGCAAGTCTCTCCTCAACAGAGACCTTGTGTCAATACAGCAGAAGGTAAATTCCTTATCATTTGGGCACAAAAAATTCTGCCCCTTCTTGTGATTTCCCTTGGCTTGCCTGATGTCACAGTATAGAAGCAAGAGACCAGAGCTGGAAACTTAGCTCATCAGGTAGCTGGGAAGGGGGAAAATATTTAAAGAGTGAGGAGTCAATGTGACCAAAGTGCAGGTGCAAAAGTAAAAGCACTTCTCTGCTTCTCACACTCCCAAGACCTGGACTTTTTGGGAATCACGGGACTTTCTTACATCTTCATTTTCAGCAGTCCTTACCCAAGCCAGCTGTGTGCAGGAATTTGAGGACTGTTTAGATCTGAAGACAAAAAAGAAAGACAATCATTTGTTAGAACCGCTTTTCCACACACCTAGGCTTTGTCTACATTGGCGCAATGTTGCGCCAGAGAAATGCAAATGAGGCTAAGCGTGGAATATCACCAAGCCTCATTTGCATATCTAATGAGCCGCCATTTTTGCAGAAGAGGCTCTTGCGCCAGAAGGAGCAGTCTAGACTGCCCCTCCTTGCGCAAGAAAAACCCTCTTGCGCAATGTCTCTACGCTGATTATTTTCAGGAATTACGGCATTGCGCAAGAGGGCTTTCTTGTGCAAGAAGGGGCAGTGTAAACACACCTTCTGGCGCAACAGCCTCTTCCGCAAAAATGGCAGCTCATTAGCTATGCAAATGAGGCTTGGTGATATTCCACGCTTAGCCTCATTTGCATTTCTCTGGCACAAGATCGTGCCAGTGTAGACATAGCCTTATTGAAGTCACTGTAGGCTCTGGATTGCTCTATAATTCAGTTTCAAACAGAGAAATGTTTTTTCAAACAGGCAGCGCAGCAGATTCATTCAGGGTGATTTCTGTCCTGCACAGCCTCACCAGGAATAAAGCTTAACAGGTCAAATTATACCCTTGGTGACGGGTGTGCAACCACAGGGAATTCAATGAAATCCAGTAAGAAATTGACTAGTGGGAGAGAAATGACAATATCCTGGCCAAATCTTACAGAATTAAGTCTAACCTTATTGAATTAAGTCTCAGGGGTAGCTGTGTGAGTCTGCATTAATGGGATTTTAGATTAGAGATGTAAAATCTCTAATGAGCTAACCAATTAAGTGTTAAGTTAATCTAATATTTAACTGGTTAACTGACTAAGCAGAATCTCACCTGTCCAGCCCCCCAACCCATGGGGCTCCCACTTCCAGCCCTGTACTGGACTGCTGCTGGCTCCCAGCCGCCCACACTGGGGCAGGCTCTGCCAGCTCCCAGCCCCCTACGCTGGGGTGGGAGTAGGCTGTCTGCTCCCAGCTGCCACCCCACAATTCTACCAGTTCAGGGGGAGGTCCTCAATGACTTTTTCCACAGCAAGCGTAGCATCTTGGTGCTGAAACGCCAGGTTCTGTTCATCGGCTGAACATTCTAAGCCTGTCAAATCGAGGCAACTAAAACATTCACATTTGCACACGTATTTTACTAATTCAGCAATATCACTAGAGCCCTGCAAATCCACAGATCATTTTTGCAGATGCGGATCCCAGTTTGGTATCCCTGCAGAGCTCTAAATAGTTCTTCTGGCTTTGGCAGCCAGGCTCAGTTCAGAGCATTCATTCAGTGCCACCAGTAAGCCTTTCTGGTTCTTGGCAAAAGAATGCACACATGCAGCCCGCCGCAGACCGGACAGCGAATGCTGTAATTCAGAAACATGTCTTTAAAATTTCTCATCACTGTGGACTTACTCAGAAGATACTGTCGAATGACTGAAGACATCCAAAGAACATGATACATAGGTGACGCTTAACCACTGCAGTTAACTAGTGGGCACTGGAACAGCCCTCACCCTCTGCTGGTAGGGGGCGCTCCAGCCCAGCCAGAGCAGCCCCAGCCCCCCATTAAACCCGTGAATTAATTTAATGGGACTTATATCCCTACTTCAGACAAACAGCAGGTCCATTACCAAAAACCTTCTCACACAGGCTGGTTTCCCATCAGCTTCCCGGTCAGCCCTGGCTGGGTGGAGCACAGCTGCTGCACTTGCTTGTCAGCTGGGACAGCACAAAGCCACACTAGACATTGCAGTGCCCACTCCCCAATCTTCTAGCTACTGGCAAAAGATAGTTGAGTTCATTTCCAAGCCTGGCCTCTGTGTTGTATTGAGATCTTACCTTTTGATCCAATCGCTGATATTCACTGGATTTGGGCCTCCGGGCTAGTTTTGATCGTTTTCCTTCCAGAGCAAAAGCAATGATCTTTGGAGACAGAAAGAGAAGACATAAATCAGCAAGCAAATCCTGAGAGGGCCCCATATTTTCTGGCGGTTGAAAAAGAACGAATGCAGAATGACAGGCATGAGTATTTTCTTTTCCCTCTTCAGAGACAAGACAGTGTGAAAAACAAGAGCAGAACTCCTAGCAACAAGTCATCTCACCTGACCAAAGCTTAATTCCAAGCCCCCTCCAAAATTCAACCTCAAAATAAACTTCAAAATAAAATATTTCACTCAAACAATGAAGATTGAAAGTGGAGATATCACTGAAGTCTACTTAACACTCAGAAAAGTCACGTGGCTTCCACAGAATTCTTCTACCTCGAAATAAAGCAAAACTTGAAAGCCTGTAGACCAGTTAAAAGATCCAGTTTCTTCACTTGTGCCACATATTTCTTTTTTTATCCTCGTTCTATGATATTTGTAGATCTCCTAAATTCATACTGTCTCCCTTGGGGGCAAAATGTTTTTCATAATCCATGTCAGAAGATTAATGTATCAATAACTAATTTCAGTTACCATAAAGATCATTGTAAACTTAGTAATCTTAAGAACTAATGGGAGGCACATCAGGTTTATATTTAAAAAAATCCACCATTTGGAGTTATTTTTCTGCTTCAGTTTTACTCACATCCACAAATTATGCAGAGTGAAAACTCACTTTCCAGGGATCAGTTTTACTGGCAAAGAAACTGACAAGAAAGGCACAGCACAGCTCAGGTCCCACCTTGCCCGCCCCCGCCAGAATTAACATCTCTTACATCTTCAAATTCAAGACTGCCCAACCCACACCCAGAGGTTTCCTCACTCTCCAAAGACCACATGCAGAGTCAGCAGAACAAACTTAATGCGATGTTGCCAACTCCCACGTTATGAGCCCTGCAATATTTTTCTTAAGCCTCTACTTTGTGAAGTCATATTACAGGCAGTCCCCGAGTTACGCGGATCCGACTTACGTCAGATCCGCAGTTACGAACGGGGCTTTTCTCGCCCCGGAGGACGAGAGCGGCGGGATACCCAGATGCGCCGCGGTCCCGCCGCCCAAGTCCTCCGGGGCGAGAAAAGCTGCTCGTCTCCTCCCTGGTCTGCTGGGGGAGAGCCCCCCCCCAGCAGACCAGAGAGACACGGAGCAAAGCCACAGAGCACGCGGGCAGCGGGACAGCCCAGACGCGCCGCAGCCCTCCCGCTGCCCGCGTCCTCTGCGCGCGGGGGGGGGGCGGGGGGGCTCCCCTCAGCAGACCAGGGAGACGCGGAGCAAAGCCACGGAGGATGCGGGCGGGACCACGGTGCGTCTCGGCGGTCCCGCCCCCCGTGTCTCCCTGGTTTGCTGGGGAGGGGGCGCCCCCCTCGCCCCGCCCCCCAGCAGACCAGGCTTTTCTCGCCAACGACGCCTGGGGTAGAGCAGCTGGGGCGCTGCCGGGTTGGTCCCGCAGCGCTGCTCCTCGGCGCTACTGGACCAACCAGGCAGCACTCCCGCTGCTCTGCCCCAGGCGTCCCCAAGTCAGCCGCTGCTGAAACTGACCAGGGAAAGATTGTTTGGTTATTTCATTTGCCAAAGGTAATTGAAGCAGATATTTATGAAGTCATTGGAAGGTAAAAGCTATCTCCAATTCAACAGATTAGTCATTAATATTGGGAGGATTTCCTTGCCATGCTGTATTAGTAGGAGAACATCTCCAGACAGACATTTACATTGTTTTATTTAGCTGACTATAGGAAGCCCAAGGCAGAGTTGCTCTGCCCCAGGCTTCCTGGAGTCAGCCGCTGATCAGTTTCAGCAGCAGCTGACTTGGGGACGCTTGGGGTTCTTAAGTTGCATCTGTATGTAAGTCAGAACTGGCGGTCAGTTTCAGCAGTGGCTGAATCTGGACACCAGTTCCGACTTACATACCAATTCAACTTAAGAACAAACCTACAGTCCCCAAGGCAGAGTTGCTCTGCCCCAGGCTTCCTGGAGTCAGCCGCTGATCAGTTTCAGCAGCAGCTGACTTGGGGACGCTTGGGGTTCTTAAGTTGCATCTGTATGTAAGTCAGAACTGGCGGTCAGTTTCAGCAGTGGCTGAATCTGGACACCAGTTCCGACTTACATACCAATTCAACTTAAGAACAAACCTACAGTCCCTATCTTGTACGTAACCGGGGACTGCCTGTACATGCATATCTCAGCTGTGATTTTAAATTAGAGTAATATTCTTGCCACAGGAGTGTCAAAAAGCCTGAAAAAAAGAAACCTAAAAGTTCCCACATACCAGAAAGCAAATAAGAATCCAAGATTTATTTTCTAAAATAGTGACTTGAAAGTCAATCTACAGTAAAACTCCAATTGTCCAGCATCCAGTGATCTAGCACTCCCAATAGTCCGGCACCAACTGGAACCCGGAAGTGCCCAGCCGGACAATTGGAGCTGCTCTGCGCTGCTTCCTCAAGTCCACTGCTGAAACTGACCAGCTGCGGACCTGGGGAAGCAGTGCGGAGCAGAGCAGCTGGGGTGCTGCCAGGTTGGTCCTGCAGCGCCGCCCCTCACCTGAGCAGCGCTGTGGGACCAACCCGGCAGCACCCAGCTGCTCAGCCCCCGGCTTCCCCAAGGGCTTGGGGAAGCCCTGGGGCCAAGCAGCTGGGGTGCTGCCAGGTTGGTCCTGCAGCGCTGCCTCTCACCAGTACCTGGATCACCCCATGCCGCACCATTCCCCACCTGACTCCTCTCGCCCCCCGCCCCAGGGCCCGTCACAGCCCCCCTGCTGGAGTACCTCCTGATACTCCGGCATATCTGATAATCCCGGCACCCCCTGGGAACCAAAGGTGCCGGATTATCGGAAGTCTGCTGTAGTTATTTCTGAATGATTGAGGTTGGCTAAAATGCATCTTTGAGGAGGACCAACTTCACGTGTTAACGAAAGGAGTTCACAGCACACTGACAGTCTATTACAGCAGTAGACATGGCCAGTTCCTATAATTCCTCTACTCACTACTGCCCCACTCAGTTTACACGCACACAGGTGGATCCCATAAATAAAAAAGAGCTCGCTTTTTTGTTTTCACCATTCCACATACTTTTGCCCATTGTCTTAGAAGACACAGTAAGCATGGGGGAGAATGCAAGTCGAGTGGGGCAACAGGGAGCTGTGAAGGCCAAGCGTGGGGAATAGGCAAAAGCCATTTTTTGTTTGTTTTAAGAATTTCTAACATTTGGGGTTAAAAAAGGTATAAAATCTCTGGCTATGACTACGATTAAAGCCCAACAACAGCAGAGCTGCAACTGAATCACTTCAGTGAGCATACTCACTTCAGCAACATGGGGGTTTCCTATATGGTTAATCTTCCTCTCTGAGAGATGGCAGCTAAATCAATGGAAAAATTCTTCTCTCAACCTAGCATTTTCTACACCAGAGGGTAGGTTGTCTTAACTACCTGTCTCAGGGGTGTGCATATGCTGATGTAAGTTTTCAAAGCAGATAACCCTTTGCAAAGAATTGTAATAGTGCTTTGAATGCTATTTCTTCAGATTTAAAACAGAGAGCACCCATCTGCTACTGTATATGTCTGACACCATTTATCCCTAGACACTACCAAATTCACAGTCCATTTTGGTCAATTTCAGAGTCAGGATTTTAAAAGTCATAAATTTCAGGTATTTAAATCTGTTGTAATAGTAGAGGACCTGACCCAAAAAACTGTTTGGGGGGCAGGTCACAAAGTTATTATAATGGAGATTGCGGTACTGCTACTTCTGGCGCTGATGCTGGAGAGCAATGCCTTCAGTGCTGGGCAGCTGGAGAGCAGTGACTACAAGCCAGCAGCAGCGCAGAAGAATGGCATGGTGTGGTATTGTCACCCTTATTTCTCCTTTGCTGCTGGTAGGGTGCTGCCGTCAGAGCTGGGCATCCAGCCACCAACTGCTGCTCTCCTGTCTGTGCTGAAGGCAGCATAGAAGTAAGGGTGGTGATACAACAGCCCCTCACAAATAACTTTGTGACCCCCTGCAACTCCTTTTTTGGGTCAAGACTCTCACTATGAGAAATGCTGGTCGTCTCTGTGAAATCAGTACAGTATAGGGAGAAACCAGCACGCAACAGACCAGATTTCATGGTCCAGGACGCATTTTTCAGGGTGGTAAATTTGGTAGGGCCCTATTTATGATGATTACTGGCAAACCCTACAGCAAAATGCCCCACAGAACCCAGTAGGCAGGATGTTTCCCACCAATACCTCATTCACCATAATTGAGTCACTCCCATTAGTCCCTAATCACTTGAGCTACCCAGGCAAAAAGGAGCTCAGAGTGAAATACTGTAACATGTCTGGTGTAGGCATGGTAAATTAGATCAATTTAATGGTATAGTTGATGCAAATTCCATCGACTATTAGATTAGTCGATAAGCAGAAGCCCCACAGGGAGTGCGGGACCAGCAGGGGACAGACCCAACACTCCCTGCCAAGCCTGACTCTTTGAAATGTACAAGAGCCCCAGTGAGGCTCTTGTACATTTCAAAAGGAAGCCCCGCAGGGAGCATGGGACCAGCAGGGGAGTTGGCCCCATGCTCCCTGTGGGGCTTCTGCTTTTGAAACGTGTTGCATGCACATAGGAGAGAGAGGCTGCACTGTATGGATCATGGTGCTCCTGGCAGGATAACCCTCAAGAAGTTCTACCAGGATACCTCAGTAAGGAAAGTTCTTCAGCTAATCTAGGACACATCTATGCGCCAGCCTGAAACTGTGGGCACTATGTAGTAAGCAGCCATATAGCCTCCTCTTTAGCCTCTTCTGAGGGTCTAAAGGATTTTACATAGTGTTGAAAAGGAGCAGTTCACAAAAAAAATCATCTTAATTAATACTCCTCTCCTTCCTTACCACCCTAGCTCCACGCCTCTCAGCTGGAAATGACCACGAAGGCTAACTGCATGATTTTCAAAAAGACTTAAGACCCTGTTGTTGCTCATCCCAACAGGTCTGGAGGGTTGAACAAAACCCAAGTTAGCATTTTTTGACCTATTGCTTGTACCAACAAATTAAAAGAGCCTAAACTATAGAAAAGCCTCAGATAAGTCAGCATATTGAAAAGTTTTCCTTCACCTCTACCTGAAGCACCAACCCACATGAAGAACCCGAGCAACAAAACATTTTAGAAACGTTGATGTTCTGAATCAAAAATTCAAGACCCGCCCTGGCAATTTCCTGCTTGTGACTGCATTGGTCTAACCGCAAAGACCTGTGTTCACAATCTACTATCACCCATTACCTCCTGAAGCAGAAAGGCCTACACCACATCCAGAAGAGCTCACCTTCCGCTTATTGTGATAAGCAATGTACAAAGCGGCGACAATAATGGCTGCAGTCACCAGGTAGGCAAAGAAGTGGCTGTTTTCGGACTCATCTTTGGGGGGCGCAGCAGGGGCACTCTCATCATCCCCCTCATCAGCTCCAGGAGCTTCTTCCATCTTCTCTTCCCCAGGGCTGCTGCCGGGGGCCAACCTGTCTTCAGCAGCCTCACCACTGGTGCTATCTCCATCTGCCTTCTTCTCGACAGCCTGGTCACCCTGACCATCAGATGCCTTGTCCTCTTTCTTTGCCCGGGGCGGGGCCGGGGGCCAACCTGTCTTCAGCAGCCTCACCACTGGTGCTATCTCCATCTGCCTTCTTCTCGACAGCCTGGTCACCCTGGCCATCAGATGCCTTGTCCTCTTTCTTTGC